CCCCCCCCCCCCCCAGCCCCACCCGGGACCAGCGGCCGGCCACCCTTCCCCCGCCAGCCCCAGGAATCTGCACAAAGGGAACCGCAGGAATAGGGAAGCGAGTCCCAGCTGGGACCTCTCTGGCCCAGTAAACAAGAGATTTTCCGGCCGCCTTCCCCGGGGCTGCGGGCCCCAAGAGCCTGAGCTGGGCCTAGTTAGCTTGCGCCGAGGCCCGGTGGGGCTTGAGGCGCACCGAGAAGGGAGAGGTTGTTGGGCCTGGCCGGACCCTGGGGGCGCGGAGGGAGGCAGGGCGCCGGGTCCCAGGGAGCCAGCCTCGTGACGCCCAGTTGCCTGGGGGATCGCCAGCAGCGCGCGGTCCAAGCCAGCCGGTGGCAGGGCGGGCAGCCGGGCGTGTTTGCCCAACCAGAGCGCTGGCGAGGGGGAGGGGAGGCAGCTGGTCTCGGGCTAGGGGGAAGCAAGGTGGGGGCAGGCGGAGACAGGCGAGAGGTAACGCCTGGGCTGTTTGCGAGCCTTGATCTATGACAACCTGGTAGTCTCAACTCAATGAATCACCCGGAGTTGCCGGAGCGATAAACCTCAAGCCGGTTCCTCCCCTCGCACACCGGCCCTCCTTACTCCAGGACGGAATGTTTGCTTGGCGGCTGCCAATATTTCAATCCTTCTTATTTTAAAATAATTAATTTTATATATTATTATTTTTAAAAGGATTACTTCTTGTGGGCCCAGCAGGTGGTGTGGTTGGTAAGAAGCTGCTGGACTTTAAGTGGTGCACCACTGTTCGAACCTCAGACCTGGTGGCTTGCTTTCTTGCTTTCCCTGTCTCCCTCTGGTGAGTGCACGTGCCCTATGGCAAATTGAATCGTAATGCTGATAGTAAATAAAATTAAATAAATCGTTTTTCTAGAAAATTATGTCGTTTATTTATTAATTTGTAAACATTTTCTACAGGGCACATGCACTCATCAGAAAGAGACAGGCGGGACGGGAGGGCGGGAAAGCAAGCCTCCAGGTCCCAGTCTCAAACTGTGTGGTCAGCACCAGGGAGCCCAGTGCCCCAACAAGAAAGCCACCCGCAGGCCCCTCCATCTCTTAAAAGTAAGAGCCTCTCTGCTGCAGACATGTACCTTCCTCCCTCCCTCTTGCTCCAAGACTCAGGAGCCCCCGAGCTGGGGTGGCAATGGGTGTCCCGGGGTTGGGTGCCCATGCTGGAAAGGCCGGCACCTCAGACCTCAGTGAGACGGGGAGCCACCGTGGCCTCGGAGAAGCTCTAAGAGGCCGCTAATGGTGAACTGGCTGCATGAGGGGACTCTCATGACTACAGGTGAAAAGCTGATTAAGAGAGGGGAGGGGAGAGCTGGTGGTGTGGTGGGTAAGGTGCTGGACTCCCACATGCTCCATTGCAGTTCGAGCCCCAGACCGAGTGGCTTGAAAATCACTCTGGGCATGTGTGTGTCCACGCTCAAAATCCTGAGAGAATGAGGCGAAAGGATGCTGGCATGGCTATCCCCTGGTGGGTGATTTCTCACTTTCCACCATTCTGTCTCTCTCCAATGAGTGCATGCACCCTATGGCAAAAAACCTTCAAAGAGAGAGAGAGAGCGAGCGCAGGACCAGCAGATGGTGCAATGGTTATATTGCTTGATTCTCACGTAGTTGACTGTGGTTGTAGTCCCAGACTCAGTAGCTTAAAACTCATGCCAGGGGGGCCAGCAGTGGCGTAATGGCTATGTCGCTGGACTCCCACGTAGTCGACTGTGGTTCAAGTCCTGGACCCGGTGACTTAAACTCATGTCGGGCGCGTGTGCGTGCGTGCCCAAGATCCCGAGAGGAGAATGGAGGAGAAGGGATTGCGGTGTGGCCATCCCCCCTGGGGGGTGATTTCTTGCTTTCTGTCTCTGTGTCTTTCTGGAGAGCGCACATGCCCTATAGCAAAAAACTCTTCAAAACAAAACAAAGCAAAACTCATGCCAGGTGTGTGTGCGTGCTTGCCCAAAATCCCAAACAGAGAATGGAGGAGAAGGGATTGCGGTGTGGCCATCCCCCCTGGGGGGTGATTTCTTGCTTTCTGTCTCTGTGTCTTTCTGGAGAGCGCACATGCCCTATAGCAAAACTCTCTCTGGAGGCTGGGCAGAGCGAAGGGAGGGTGGGAAGAAATGAGACTGGAAGACAAGTGACCTGTGACCTGAAGGAGCCAGTGAGGAACTAGGCTCCAGTGAGCTGTCCCAGTTTGTCTTTGAGCCTCTGGGAACCTCTTCTCTCTACTGAGATTCTCCAAAAAGGCACCTCTTCCCTCATACGCTGGCCAGGCAGGGGAAAGGCTGGGGGGTGTAGTCCTGGCCACCACCCATGGGGAGGCGGCTGGCAGGAGCCCGGCCCCAGCCAGCCCTGCCATGTGCATGGATGCGGTGGAGATGAGGGCGGTTTTCTGAGAACCGGTTGTTCATCGCACCTCACTTCTGGAATAGAGTCTGCCCTCACAGGACAAAGCCAGTCCCTCAGGGCAGATGGCCTGGGCCTCTGGGTCCCCAGGACTGCTGTACCTTCTTTAGGCCCTGGGGCCTGTGTTGATGGGGGCGGGGGTTGGAGGGGCTGGAGTGGAAGGGCACCTGAGTGAGTCAGACTCAGTGGGGACAGCAGAACCCAGGCAGCCGGCAATGCAAGAAGGAAGTTATGTGGGGGGTGCTCTGGCCTTCCGAGAGTCCAGCCACGGGGTCAGCTGTGCCCCCAGTCTCTCAGCCCAGATTTAATAACACAGTAGACATATAACCATTGTGAACTCCCATTCTCACCAAAAAGTAACACTTAGAGAAGTGGTCCCCACAGACATGGCCTGCCACTGTCAGGAGAGACAGGTGTACTGGACGCCAGCGGCCCCTCCCTCCCACTCATAGCAGGTGTACTGGACTCCAGCGGGCCCCCTCCCGCCCCCACAGTATGCAGGTGTACTGGACGCCAGC